TTTTTTTTTTTTTTTTTTTTAATATTATCTAATTCGAATTTTTATTTTAGTCCCGTTAGAATTGAAGTTCTATTTGAACATATGGCACCAAATTAAATTCATACATGGGAAAATTAATTAGGTGTTAATTAAAAAATAAAGGGACGGAGTTTTAAATTCATTAATTAGGTGTTAATTACGAATTATTAATTAAATTAATACAAGTTTGTCCATTAATTTCACCCATCCTGTTATTCTCCCATAAGATTCTCTCTTCAAAACTTACCAGTAAGCATTCAAGATCGAGACCTCATCCCCTCACAATTTCCTGGTTAACCCACCCAGTGGACTCATTGCACTGCTCGTTTCCCACCACTTTCCAAGTCGTCCTCAAATCCTAATCCCACCTCCTCAGTACCTTCTCCCTCTCAATTTTCTACTGTTCCCTCCTCAAAACAACTCTTGCACCTGAACTCACTCCTGAGTCTACCCCTTACGAGTTCATTAACTAGTGGTTCGACTTAGACCAATCTCACTGGCCACGACATCAAACTTAAAGTTTACTTCCCCGGCCCTCTTCTTTTTGGACAGGTACCTGTGATTGGAGAATGGTACCGGTGATCGGAAACTAGAAAATTAGGGATCGGTACCTGTGATCTAACAGTATTGTGCTCAACGTCGTGAGGAAGGAAGGATTAACAAAATATTCGATTTTCACCGAGCCCTGTCGAGAAATCTAGTACCGATTTACGATTCACGTGCAAAAACTTCAATGAATACCGACAGCAATATTCGAAAGTGTGCTAGGAATTCAATGGATCAATTTTATGAAGTATTGAATTCCAGCCCGACCACACAGAAGGTTAATGGCATCTTGCAGTTCTCATCTTTTGTCGGTGAAAGCATTTTACATCAACTGCAGCAACAACACCACTCGGAACTTGAGTTTTCCAGGCTGTTACTTGAAAGCGCTACACTATTGAATAGGATTTCGTATATATCAAAATTAGTAGTTTTGCAGTAGAAATTTCGGGACAAGGTATAGCTTGCTATTTTGGGTTGCGGTGATGATGTGTTATGGTGCTGGTTTTTGTGTGCAGATTTATTTGTGGTGATCCTATGTAAAGTCTATGTTAATTATGAGGGAGATGCTATATATATCAAATCATTTATCAAATGGATGATCGAATTGACAATTATCGTGCCCTTATTGGAGTGGACAGACGCCCCTCCAATAAGGGGGCGCCGCTTGTCAATTTGGTCAAAAATTAGGTAAGACATTTGGTACATGTAGATTAATTCTAATTATGATTAGGTGCGATCAAGCCTATAAATCAAGCTTAATTGTGACCAACTCTAGCTGTATGTATTGTAGTGTTGGTATAAGTTGTGTGCGAAGAGCAATTTGTACATCAATTCCAAGAGATTAAGAAAACGAGTCGCCGATCGTTAAAGACAAATCGGACACCAATCCTTCAATGCTGCGCCTCCAATTAGAGGTGGGTAGAACCCAATCGAACTCGTCAAAATCGATCGAATAGAAGCGACCTGACTGATTTTGGTCGATATTTTTAGGTGAGTTCCGGGTATGAGTTGCTTGAATAGGTCGGGTGATGGGCTAACCCATCAAAACCAATATAACCCCCCGACTCGACCCAACCCGCTTATTTAAATAGAAAACTTTAAAAAAATCAAAAGAAATGGAAATCATACAATAGAAGCCATAAACTTAAACCAAATCTCTCATTCTCTATATTCTCTAAAATCGCCAATGCCGACCTTCAATTTTTAGTTGCCGACATTGGTCATGGATCGTCCATGGATAGTCAATACTGATTGTTCTCCAAACTTTGACTAAATTCCGTTAGAAGTTGATGTTAATAGTTATAGCTAGTCAGTTTCTTTCTTCTTCTTTTTTCCATGAAGTCGTTTTTCAAGATTTCACTATTAGATTCCATAGAATTCCTTATAGATGGTTATTGCTGTTTTGATTTCATTATATTCAAGTGATTCATAGAACGTTGAATGTTGGATAAATTAAATTTCATGAACTGCTCCCAGTTTTTTTTTCTTATAATGTTTAAATAATTTGAAGATTTGTTTGCTTGAGAATGTTTTCCTTATTATTTTAGGGTGAAATGGAGTAATCTGTAAGGAATTATATGTCTTCTATTGTTGCTACATTTTTGCAACTAGTTCAATTTGAGGTTTATTTCATTTGTTTTACTAGCGTTCCCTTCTACTCCTGCATTTTTGCAACTAGTATTATTTACATTACTTTGAGGTGTATATTATTTTAAAGAATAGGCCATATATTTGTATCTCGAATTTGATTTGATTACTCTATCAAACGGAAAATTATTGGAAATGGATTGTTTTTTTAATTATCGTTCAATTGGTTTGAAATATATGTAAAGCCTGTTACATGGGTATTTGCATTTTTAAATGGATATTTAAATGGTTGTTTTGAAGCAATTTTCTTTATGGTTTTTATTGTTCAACAAATTTTGTTGGTCTAAAATCTAAACCGGGTTGGGTTGAATTGATTTTAGATCAAACCAACCATATTGGATTGAATTAGAGTTGAATAAAAAAATGGACCTAACCCAACCCCCTACCGCCACCTCCACCTCCACCTCCACCTCCACCTCCAATCTCATCTTGTTTTCGGCCCCAGCCTTTGTTGCAGAACCACCGCCACTGCTCCACAAAGCAGAAAACTTCAATGTAAAACTAAAAATAGTCCTTGATCATTCCAACGCTCCGCACCATCTTCCCCAGATCGCCATCCACCATTTGTCTACTCAAATCCACCCTCTGTATCTCAAAGGTAATTTCAAACAATAGAGTTCAGTTAATAGCATTTGACTTTTATCAATTTTTCACTATTTACTAATATGAATGTGTCTTGTTTTCTTTCTCTCTTCTTCTGCATAATAAATGTGGTATGTGCTTATAGAACGTCAACGTAAACAAGGCATTGCCATTTTTTGGGGTGGGGGTACGGATACAATGTATGTCAATTGTATATATATGTGTAAATTGTAACATGTACAGAGAAAAATATAATGGATATATATAAGATTGTTATTTTTGAAATGTCACTTTTATAGTGTAATAGTTGTGTATTGTTCTCTTCATCAGCGACGGCCCTGAGGGCGCTCAAGTTGAGCGATTGCACAGGGCATCAAAATTGTAGGGGCATAAAAAAATTTTTGTTATAGTTGTATATTTATTTATAATTAAATATATAAAGTATAAATTTTTATAATTGTGCATAAAATATTAAAATTAAGAATAATGTGACTAACTAATTATAATTTTCTTGAATATAATATTCTTAAATAGTATTCTTACCTTGAATAATGTGAGGGAAAAGGGAAAAGTATAAAGAAATCAGGTTGGCCAGAGAACTGAGAGAAGAAAGAAAAATTGAGCAACCGCATTTTCTAATCGTCTTTTTGGAGAAAAGAATTAAAGAAATCAACCATCTTTTCCAATTACTTCAAAGATGATAGAGGCAGAGAAGAAAGAAACCAATTATTCCTTTTATATAATAGATAAAAATGCTATTGTAGATAATGCACAATCACCTGAAGATTCTTTTGGAACCAATTATTTCTTTTATATAGTAGATCAAGCAATTGGATCACTTGAACGAAGGTTTGATCAATTTAATTCATATGAAAAAATTTGGATTTCTATTTTCTTCCAACAAGTTAAACTCATTGGATGATGCTAATTTGGAAACATGTTGTGATCATCTTGATATTGTTTTAAGACATGTAAATTTTTGCAATCTTGATTGAAAAGATTTATTTCAAGAGTTAAAGGTTTTGCGAAATCTTTTATCAAAAGAAATAAAGACGGCTTTTGATATGTTGACTTATTTGAAAAAATAGGATTGCTTTTCGAATACATGTATTGCTTATAAAATATTATTGACAATTCCTGTTACTGCTGCATTTGCTAAAAAGAGTTTTCAAAAATTGAAGTTATTGAAATCTTATTTACGATCAACCATGTTACAAGAATGATTGAATGAATTAGTTTTGATATCTATTGAGCAAGCTTTTTAGAAAATATTGATTATGAAAGTTTAATTAGTGAGTTTACATCTAAAAATGCGATAAGAAATATTTTTACATGATTTATTGCATTTTAAGCGTTACACTTGATATATATATTTTTTCAAGGTTTGTTTATATGGAATTGCACGACGAGGCTAGTGGCTTGGATGGTTCTTTGTTGATGACATATGAATTTTGATGAAGTTCGAAAGATGCTTTTGAGCTTGATTTATGTTTTTCTTGTTCATGTATGTTAAAAAAAACTATTATTAAAATATCATATTTTTGCAATGAAATAATATTATTGAAATAATTTTTTAATATATGTTTTAGTTACTTAAAGGGGGCACTATTTTAAAATCTCGCACATGGCACCCAAAATCTCATAACCAACTCTGCTCTTCATTGTTCATGCATTGTACAAATTCTGTATGTAATTTGGTTTTGAATGATTTACGACTTGTTTTGGAGCATAAACAAACCCATTACCCATGGGCCAAGGAGGCCACTTCTCAATAGGAATCCATCTCCAAATTAATCGCGAAGGGGTTATATTTCTTGGTGGATGAGGATCTTGTAGCATAAAAGTCTTAAACCTTCAAAATTGAAGTCACTTTTTAAAATGTGGAAATTACAGGAATCTCTAGTGTTAAAATCCTCTATTTTTATATCAGATGGGAAGTTTCATGTTTCAAAAATCAAATATATTATATTTAAATATTAATTATTAATTATACAAATATCATTTCAAAACCCTAATCAATTTATTTCCTTCTCCATCTCCCTCTCTTTCTTCACGGCCTCTCTATCGACATCGCACCTACCCCTATTCAGGCACCGGAACCACCACTCATTCAGCGATGATGGACGCAACACTTCTCTTCCTCTCCCTTCTTCTCATCTTCGGTGCTGCGACGAAAATCTTTTTCTTTCATCTTTTCTCCATCCTCTCCACCACCAAACCCTCTACCCTCAGATCACTCCCGTTACCCTGTTTGTCACTTCAGCGCAGTAAAGCAGCAACAGCAACGCGCGTGTCTTAGTGCACGATGTGAATGTTGTAGAGCGGCTTTGTCCCTATCGTTGTTGCAGTTCGATGGTGATGGTGGTGTTACAGGCGATTGGTACAGGTGATGGTAGATTTGACGATAATGATGTGCGTTGTTAAGTGAGGTGAGGGTGGTGGATTTAGCGGTGGAAGTCAAGGTAAGGTGTTGGTACTTTAATGTTTTTTTTTTTTTTTTTTAAACAGTGAATGAGTGTTGGTTGAGAATGGTGGTTGTGGTGGTGGTGGTGGTGGAGATGGTGGGGGTGGCGATGACGATAGTGCAATTATGACTTTTGTGGTGGTAGTAGTGGGGAAGCGAGACGACATTACGGTGGTGGCTTTTGTGGGATGTTGGCGATTTTGTATCTGGTTTGTTGATGGTAAGATGTGTCTAATTGCGGTGTTTGAGATGACGAGGTTGTCAGGAAATGGTGGTAGTGGTTTTGGCGATGGCAGTTGCGACGTTGATGGGTTGGCAACAGTGGTGGAGTGGTGATCATAAGTATTGATGGCAGTCACAAAATGATTTAATCTATGACAAATAATAAATAACCTGTGACCAATAAGAAAGAGGAATTATGATCAAGAAATAACATGTGACTTAATTTTTTTTTTAATTTTTGATTGTTTAATAAATTGTGAACTATAATATTTGTAATATGTGACCTGTAAATAAATTGTAATGTATAAAGTTTTGATCTGTAACCAATGAACAAATTGAGACCTAAAAGTTTTTGAATTGTGATCGTAAATTAATTTGTGACATTAAAAAATTTTGACTTGTGAACGAAAAATAATAAGTAGCTAATTAAATTCTAAATTTGTGACCAAATTGTATAGATCTGCAACAATAATATATTTAATTAATAAAATATATAATTAATTAATTAAATTATAAATGAATTTTAATGAATATTTGATTTTTGAAATTTAAAACTTTTATTCTTACTTTTGAAATGGATAATAGTTATCTTCTTACTTATGAAATTTTCGTTTGAATTTTTCTTTTAGAAAAAATTGCTTGAGTTTTAGGTATACCTAGATTACAAGAACTAAAATAATCAAATAATTCTTTATTATTAGAATTATTGATTA